AAATGCGTCTTTTTGTACGCTCATATCTCAACAAGCTTTAAAGATATTAAAGAGATATTTTATATACTATAATTATAAAGTATTTACAGCATACAGCATTAATTAGAAGTAGTCTACTCTATTATTTACTGGAATAACATAAAATACAGTGTAATTTTTATGTAAAATTAAAAAATAGGTATCTAAAAAGCAATATATATAATATTAACCTTATATTTCTCTTACAAGTAGTTATACCTATATATAATCTGATTTTAAAATTAAAGGCCAGGATATAATATAGACATTGTGGTATGAGCGTACAAAAAAACGCATTTTGTATGGGTATTCTAGTGATCGGAGCAACCGGGTGATCGAAACAGCCGGGAAATACGTTAACTAACGTCAACTAGCTTATGTAATCGAGGATATAGACTTGACTCTTGCAGCCTCGCTTTTTACTGCCTCTCTATTTCTCTTTCTTTTTTTCTTTCTCTCTCTTTTTTTTCCCCTTTTCTTCTTTTCTTTTCTTTCTTTCCCTTTTTTTTTGTTTTTTAAGCTAATGCTAAACAAACCACCTAAGCTACAGCTGCATCCCCTGTCGGATCTTCGATCACGGCCACCAGATCAGTCCTGTTCCGCTGATTGGTTAGTTTCGCCGCTCAGGTACGGAGTACATGTACCGACGGCGTTCAATATAGTACAGTCCGTCGGCCCCTAAAACAAAGACAAAGTAAAGTGGTATAATTCTAAGCCTTTTTTTTTGTTTTCGGTGGAAATGGGGAAAAAAAGATTCATTTTTGCGAACTTTCTTTTCTTTTTTTTTCTTTTTTTTCTTTTTTGCCACAGGTTTAACCTTCTCCGAATGGAAATCGAATTGAGTTTTCTAGATTGATTGATTCTAAATTTAGTACCTAAATTTTTCCCCCTTAAGGCTTACGGAGGGAACTCCCGTCCCGCGTAAACGACCCCCTAGAAAAGTAAAGGTTGGGTGACTCACAGAGTCACAAGTTCACTGTCTTGGCCAATCAGATACCAGAGCAGTTAAGTGGCAGTATTAGGTTTTTTTTTCTTTCTCACCGTTTTTCACCTGAGGTACTCCGAACTCCGTACCTTACTCCGTAGGATTAGCTATTTTGCAAGACAGAATACCTAATACGGAGTCAGACAGGACAGGACCCACGGGTCCCGACTCCCGAGTCTCGACTCTGCTCGGAGCACTGGCTGGCTATCGGAGGTCGCCGATGAGCCGATGCAAGCCGAAACGTACTCCGTACGGAGTGCAGTAGGTAAAAAGCTATGCTGTACAATAATTAATAGTTGGAGTATATACGAAACAAAACAACGAGAAAAAAAAATTTTTTATACTCCTTTTTTTTCTTGGATGAAGATTGTACAGTACTCCGTACAGTGAGTGTCAGCTCTCCTGGCAAACCTAAAAAAAACAAGAAAAAAAAACAACAGCAAGAACAGGAGCTCCAGGTCTCTCCCTCTCTTCTCTATCTGCAATGCGCTTTTCAAGGTGAAAGTCTGCTTGATCCATTAATTTATTGATACACTTCGACATCTCCATTTCAATCGAGTGTGTTAAGATCACTCTAATGCGATGACTTTTGAGGTACAGTACATGTACTCAATAACGTATTTCCCGGCTGTTTCGATCACCCGGTTGCTCCGATCACTAGAATACCCATACAAAATGCGTTTTTTTGTACGCTCATACCACAATGTCTATATTATATCCTGGCCTTTAATTTTAAAATCAGATTATATATAGGTATAACTACTTGTAAGAGAAATATAAGGTTAATATTATATATATTGCTTTTAGATACCTATTTTTAATTTACATAAAAATTACACTGTATTTTATATTATTCCAGTAAATAATAGAGTAGACTACTTCTG